TGGTAAAGATGAGGGCTAACTGCAAAGTCTAAAACACAAAAATCCGTGGTTTAAATATAGTGGCAGAACTGCATATCAAATCAATACTTTTTATATACAATATATGTCCTAAATATATGTCCTGTGATGCATTGTTTCTATATTCATTTATATGTTTAAAATGGAGGCCATGACATGAGAAAGAAATTAGTCTTTTTTAATCATAGGAATGACATGTTTTTGAGCTTCCTGTTATGCATAGAGAAGATTTGCACCTACAGATATGAAACAAGAAGTATATAATAAAAACAAAATGCATACCTCTTGTACTAAACACCTCATCCATGAATGGAAGTGCTTTATAATGATGGATATCAATATCCTCAATATAAATATAATTATTTCTGGCGTATTGATGGGGAAATTGAGGCATATGTAGAAGTGGCTCAAGGCCAATGGAAGAGCCAAGAGGAGACCCTGGGTCTCTTCAGAGGCTCTGCCTACTTGGCCACATGCCTTCCCTAGTTTATTGTGTGCATGTTTTTAAAGGAGAGTTTTAGTTATTACTGGTGTCGGCAGTGGCCCAAATGCCCTTTATAGGGTCTCTCCCTCCAAAATGGTATTTGAGGAACTGGCACCTTTAAGACAATATTGGCTGCTGGGTGGAGTTTCTGGAGCTTATACTTGACATGGAGCAATCTGCTGCTGTTTTCTGCCAGGTTCTGCTAGATGTTGCTCTTTCTTTCCCATTGCTTAGCTTCCCATAAGCTGTAGAATGGATCAGAAAGACACAGCAGTCACCAGTTAGAAGCAGAGTAGTCATCTCTGTTTCACAAAACATTGAAATGAGGCAACAGATTCAATCCTGCAGCCCTTATGCCTGCAAAACTCTACTGAATTTCATGGAAATTTGGCCTGTATCAGGAGTTTTGCATTGAGCTCAAAGGGATTGGCAAGTGAATGAGAGAGATTGTAGCAGTGAAATGGGAGGCGTTTTTTTAACCTGGCTAAGATGCTGATTCTGTGCTCTTCCAGCAACATATGAGATAACCTCACTACTATCCAAACTCTGTATTTCTTACACTGCTTTTGGTATTTGCAATGCCACTAACTGAAACAGAAGCAGCAGAACCTTGAGCTTCAGGTCAGGTAAGTGAAGAAGAAAGTGATTTGCAGATGATTTGTGATTTTTAAGCTCATTTGTAAGTTAGAAGAGTTTTCAAATACTATTGACGGTTTAAGATGTCAACCAACATAGTTTGATTGTTATTAAATTAGAATTTCAGTTCACCTCTTCTGACAAATGTCAGACGCATGTTTTCAGATGAACTGTTTGAAAAAGGTTGCCGCTTGTCTCTGCTTAATAGCTAACAACACCTTGGGTTGCTAGGATCAAATTAAATTGTTGTAATCTAAATGTAGTGGTATTGTGTTTTTACTGAAGGATCACATATTGAATTTATGTACTAAAATGATCTTCTGTTGGTTTGTCGGAATATTGTGGGCCCTATATTGCAAATCCTTAACTCAGCAAAACTTTTAGTGGATAGGACTCAATTTGCAATGAATAAAAATAGTAGAAGAAATGTGCCATAAAAACGACCCATTTTATATGCAACATAAATGCAAACAGTAATTGAATATGAGGTGAGAAATGGAAATTACTGTGGCAACAGAATTGTCTTTTAGATGCAGGATTTCAGAAGCTAAATTAGATTCCAGGGAACTACAACAGAGGATTTCCAGGGGAGAAAAGTAAAGCAATGACTATTCTAGGGGAAAATTACCTTTAAAAATACCTTAGATGGCTAGACTGTTGACTAATACTTCATGTTTTTGTTCTGTTTTCTTCAAGAAGTTAAATAAAAATCACTTATATTAAAGACAAAACTGTCTAAGAAATGTTCTTGTCTTTGTAAGGAAAGTGTCTCCAGTTAGAATCAGATCTCTAATCTTTCCGTGCCAGGCTTCTCTGCCAGGTGGCTTATCAGACAGGCAGTTTTTCATTATTAATTTTCTAGCCTGAAGCAACAGAACAGTAGCAAATCTTTATGAGGCCAGTGATATAGAGTTATCATGCTGTATTCCCAGTAGACAAGAAAAAGGGCTTTCCATAATTTTGCCTGATCTTCTGTTTATCTCTTTACACACAGTATCTGCACAAAATGAGATACCTTTAGGCTGTCCCAAATATTAGGCAATGCCATGGAATACTTTTGAGAATATGGAAATTCACTCTTGATAAGCTTATAATGGCAGGGAAGTGTGATAATGCATTAAGGATTCCGTTCTGTGGTTCCTTGAGACATTAGCACACAGAAAATTAGCACAAGTCTCTTCATCACTGCAGCCTGGGTTACAGTAGAAATAGTTACTGCATGCTTATCTTTCATTTTCTATGTATAAGTGCTGCAGTAATGAGGTCAAGAAGGTTCTATGTGCAGCAGGTTGAGCAGAGAAGATGGCAGTCTGGACTCTTGAGTAGTATGGAGCTATCTGACTCTTTCAGTTGTGCAACCTCATGTAAGTATTCATCAAGCTCTCTATGCCTCAGCCTACCAATTTTTAATAGGTATAATACCAGCAAGCGCATAAGAAGGTGGAAGACAAGGCAAGCCACCTTTCTGTTATTCATCAGCATCCTTTTTATGGATCTCTTAGGTACCAGGTTGTGTGCGTGTGTCTATGAGACAGGATGACTGCAACTGATTACTAGAGTTAAAATCGTCTCCTCCTTTTTTTTTTTTTTTTTTAAACTTTCCACCTATTTCCTTTTCCTACTGTAACAATTTGCTTTTGTTCTCTGTGAAACTTGCACTCCTGCTCATTTTCTCTAGCTTGCCTATAAATAGCTTTGAAATTTGGCTCAAAGACTTTGAGATCATTTATCCAGATAGACCAGATAAATCAGTGGCAGTGCTGGGTTTACAGCTCTGGAGTTCCTGGCTCCTAGTACCTTGCTCATTCAAAGACACAGCACTGTCTTCTTCTAATTAGATAGATGTTATATTCAGATTACTTATTAAAGCCAATATCCTTTGGTTTCTCTCAAATATTTACTTTTAACTCAGTAGATCATAAAAAAAGAGTTCATGGGTTGTTTTTTTTTCCTTTCAGCATAAGTTGAAGGTATTGAAGGTTAATGAAGTTTCTAATAGAATGGCAGACCTTAGAAATATCTGTTATTGTGGGATTATTTTTGTAACATTCTCAGCAGTGTCCCTTGATAGCCTAGCAAGAAGATTAAACATTTGCAGTGGTATGTGGCTTTGGTTCTTTTTTTTTTTTTTTTTTTAATATATGAAATGGAGTCGAGTCAGGACCTATTTTGAATTAAATTAGGAAAGTGTAGATGAATCCTTCAGTTTAAGACATTAATAACAGCAAAAGCTGATTCACAAAACTCATTTTTATTTGTATTTGTATAGAAAAAGTGGTGGCACTAAAAAATATTTTGAAATTAACTATAAAATGTTATCCAGAAAGCTATTATCCTTTTTTTTTCTGTGACCTGTACATCCAGCCCAAGAGATCAGTCTTTGCAAACACTGGCATTCTTTTTTAGCCAATGAAAAATTAACAAAAATGATGGGATTGACCTTCATTTATGCCAGGCAACTGAGATTGGAATTTGGCTTTCAGTGCATCCCCATACATGCACGCATGTGGTTTGCAGCGCCACAGACTACATGTGACACACGTTGCAGGTGTTCGCTGCACTCCTAATGTGTAGTGCAGTATGATTTTTTGACACAGGAAGATCCCAGTCAAAACCCCACCACTGAAAAAAGTGTCTTGGCACATGCAGCAGCAGCGTGCGCTTCCAGAAAGGGAGTGTGGCTAACCAGAGCCACGCTCTGGCTGCTGGCCAGACTCCGAGCACATGGATTGCCACCGCTGCTACCTTGGGAAGCCCCCAGCACCCCAGGAAAGGCTTCTGAGGTCAGCCTGGGTGCTGGCCCCAGCCTCCCTTACCACATCCAGGGCCATTTGGCCCATGCTAGAGTGTGTTTGCAGGGGCGTGCCCAAGGAAAAATAGCAGCAGCACAAATATGTGCCACTGTTATTTGTCCTGTGGAGGATGCAGATGCGCGCTCATGGGAATATGCCCATAGAGTCGTATTAGGAATGTTAGGTCCCTACCAAGCAGTTTTTCTGGTCCAAGTTTGAAATACTTTGAAGGGGTCTCAAACTCTAATCCTTTGTAATGTACTGAGCTAGGTATTTGGGAGAATGCAAAGCTCTAGAGAGACCAAGCAAGAATGACATTCATTTTAAGATAATGTAATAATTGTCCAGAAGTGGACATGGTGCTACATGCATATAAAATAAAAGGTGTTCCTTAAACCAGATGTTTGCTTAATTATTATCTAGTATTTTCTCACTGACAAATGCTTCTTATGGATTTCATAAAGTTTGATTCTTCTATGGCTCATACAGTTCAAGGTCTTGCCACTGTCTTACTAGTTTTAGTACTGCATTTCCCTTTGGAGTGCATAACTTTTTTCTCATTTAAAAAGTTATCATTGCTGCAAGCAGCTCAGTAAAATGAAAGCCTCAGGTGTTCTTATCTCAGTAGGAAATCTGAGTTCTGGGTGTACGTTAAAAATTCAAAATGCTATTTGTGGCTGCTGCCGTGCCTTCCACATTACCTCATCACCGTGTACCTACTAATCCATGAAAAAAGAGTTCTCCATGAAAAAAAATAAAAAGCATTTTTTCTATTGATATCTTTTTAATGTACCTCTTTTTCTTAGGCTTTGCATATTGCAGTGAGTCCATTTGGGTTGGAATTTGCTAAAAACAATACAATGGTAATGACAATATCCGGAGTAGAGTTTTATGAGAAAATGTTGACATCTGCAATTTCCAGGAAAACAGAGTAACCCACCTGTGTCTGTGTTTTGTTGTTTCTTTTTTTAAATATGTGCACCCATTATTATTCCTTGATTTTTAGCACTGCCTTAGAGTAAAAATCCAAATAACCAGCCTCTGTCTGTTTCACATTTTTCATCCTGTAGATTGAGGAAATGCAGTGGGGTAAAGGCATACGTGAGATCCCATCCTCAGTCTGCAGTCAGCCTTGCAAACCAGGATTTAGAAAGAAGATGGTTAAAGGAATGCCATGCTGTTGGCACTGCGAGCTCTGTGATGGGTACCAGTACCAGGCTGATGAGGTGACTTGTCTTCTCTGCTCTTATAATGAGCGGCCTAACGAGAACCGCACTGGATGCCGTCCTATACCCATTGTGAAATTGGAATGGCATTCTCCATGGGCTGTCATACCAGTCTTCTTGGCTATGCTTGGAATTATTGCCACCATTTTTGTAATGGCGACCTTCATTAGATATAATGACACTCCTATCGTCCGAGCTTCTGGAAGGGAACTCAGCTATGTCCTGTTGACGGGAATATTTCTTTGTTATATAATTACTTTCCTGATGATTGCCAAGCCAGACGTTGCGGTATGCTCCTTCCGGCGTATCTTCCTGGGCTTGGGGATGTGCATCAGTTATGCAGCTCTTTTAACTAAAACAAACCGTATCTACCGTATATTTGAGCAGGGCAAAAAGTCAGTGACGGCACCTAGGCTTATAAGCCCAACATCACAATTGGCAATCACTTCAAGTTTAATATCTGTTCAGCTTCTAGGGGTCTTCATTTGGTTTGCAGTTGACCCACCCAACATCATCATAGATTATGATGAGCAGAAGACTATGAACCCTGACCAGGCAAGAGGAGTTCTCAAATGTGACATTACGGATCTACAAATCATTTGCTCCTTGGGGTATAGCATTCTCCTAATGGTTACATGTACTGTGTATGCCATCAAGACTCGGGGTGTCCCAGAGAATTTTAATGAAGCAAAACCCATTGGATTCACTATGTACACTACTTGTATAGTATGGCTTGCCTTCATTCCAATATTTTTTGGCACTGCCCAGTCAGCTGAAAAGGTAGGTGAAAATGAACGATTGTCAGGCCTTTATAGCCAAGTCATTGCCATTATGAATTATGACTAAAGTTCACTTTTAAGCAAACTTAAAAACGTGCCAGCTGATTAAAATATATTACTGATAGATGCATTATATATAAGAATACTTTTTCCAGTTAGTTGGTGGGACCATTCATTTGATGGTTAATGGGAATCATTGTAATCATTAGTTTCATTGTTGCATCTATTTCAACTGTCCTTTTTTCAGTATGATGAATGGGAGTTAGCTGTCACACTACCCAAAGAGATGGCTCTTAACTAAATCATCCTAATCAAGAAATTAAACTAGGCATCTGTCAAAAAATACAGCCATTCTTATAAATGTCTGCACTTCTGAAGTGTAACACTGGAGGTAGTGATCATTGTCAGCTGAACACGCTATATCAGAGTAGCATCCTAAAGATAAATTAACCCGTTATAATGAGGCTTGGTTTGTTTAAATCTAGATTGGGTATTTGCACACTGTACTGCAATCACTTCTGTGCAAGCTATGCAGTGTAGCCATGCCCTTGGTTCTCTAGAAGCAAATTCCCTGCCAGCATGAGATAGTTACATTTAAGAGATTATTCAGGTACAGATTAGGCAGTATTTGACCCATTCATTTTCTTTTCTGTAGAATAAGTGTAAAAACATTGGGGTTTCATCTCTTTGTAGGGTTATCATAGAAAGCCAGTCAGAAAAGCTTCCTTAACAACTATGAAATCTTTTGACTTTACTAAGCATTAGGTAAGAGCTATACTAAATGTGATCCTTTTTTGGGCAACTGACTTGCATTCCACATACATTGTCCCAGACAAGCAAAGAAAAAATAAAGAAAAAAAAATCATCTTAGGAAGAGATAGCACTAAATTAAAAATAAAGATATACATGCAAACAAGCCTAAGTCCTTGGCACAAATTAGAGTTAACACACAGTTCTTTGAAAGGCTAGGGCTATCATACACACTCTTGTATGAGAGAGGCAATTGCCAGTTGAATCTCTCACATAACAGAGAAGGCAGTACTCAGAAAATATAGACCTCTACCTCTTGCATCAAAGGAGATCTCCCTTTTTTACCTGGTGGTAATAGGCCAGCCTTGGGTAGCCTTATTGTAACAGGCATTTTGTGTATGGGTATGTTTATGCAGCAAGTGGCTGCAAGGTATGGTATCAGGCTAGCTTAATCTAGCTAGCACAAAGAACAGTAGTGATGATGGGGCGGTGTGCTGTTTAGTGGTGCATACTAGTAATGTACTCTCATGACTAGTATGCACTAGTCATGAGAGTACAAACCCTCTAGGGACTTTATATACATATTCCTAGTTATTAGCACATACTAAAGCACTTGCTGTTTTTTGTTCCCTGTAGTATTGGGACCAAGATGGAACATATTTGCTAGCACATATTACAGTTAAACTTTGCTGTTACAATATATATGCATCCTGCGTGAGACAGCCTATAGAAGGCAGTAAGGTCAGACATACACACATATTCCCAAAGCCAAAACATGTTTGTTTCTTGTCTGCCAAAATCCTGTAGCCATTCATGGTGATTGGGAGTTACTCAAAAGATGCACTGTAGCTTTACTTTCGTCACCTGAGAACTCAAGACCTATACAAAGTGTCTTCTTTACAGTAATTCTTTGTATGATTAGTGGGGACCTACTTAAAGTTTCACGATTTCCCAAGAACTCAACCCCCCAAAAGTTAATAAAAATAAAATGCTGGCTCTCCAGTGGGAGCCAGCAGTCCTCACTGCCACTGTGGCCTCGTAGCCCACTCCAGAGGGGAAGGTGCCAGATGTCAAGGCAGAATGAAGGGCAGCAGCCAAGATGGCTGCTGCCTCATTGTGTCTCTGCCAATCAGCAGTAAGGGGCAGGGCTGCACAAAGGGCAGGCAGCAGTCAAGATGGTGCTCCCCTGTCTCTCCACCCCCTGAGGCCTCTGCTGATCAGTGCTGAGGGACAGGGCCTCTCCACAAATCAGCGACAAGAGGCAGGACCACCATGAAACGACCACAAAATCAGCTCTTCAGACAGCAACCAAGCCGCAGACATGGCTTTCTCTCACCGCGAGGTAAGTAGGTCCCTAATGATCAGTGGTAATCCCATATCAGCTTGTTTTGGGGGAAATATTGTGTGGGAGATCATCAATTGATGAGAATTGCACCTATGTACACACCTGGGGTGGAATAGCATGGAGGATGGATCTATTCTCATTACTAGAGGACATGGTTCTGGCGTGGGAGGGAACTGGCAAAGGAAGAGGAGAAAGAGGATGTTCAAAGCAATGCTTAAGTAAAACAATGTTCAGGGAGAAAAATACTAGCAGCTCCATTTTGAACAGACTGCAGGGAGGTGGCTTGGGTATGAAGGAGGAGGTTATACAGAGTTTAAAATGTATTCAGACACTTCCCTACTATGTGCACTGGTACATTAACTTGGATAATTCACATCCTTTCTGCAGCTTGCCACTTAATACAGCAGAACATTTGTTTGCTTGGCATTTAATATCTGATCTGCGAGACATATCTTGTGAATTACTGTCATTTGTGTCCCTTGTTTGATTATGGGGCATGTTTATATTTTGGTGGATTCTAGTTGTAACAGATTTGAGGCTACTTTGTTTCTGAAAAAGGTAACTGCATATCCATTATTTTATGCCTATGCTTGTGCCTAGCTGAAGGATTTATATTGAATTTTACCTGGCTGCTAGAGCGCACATTAAAATATCGTTACTTTGGGCAGAATTCAATTATGTTGTTCTGCTGTCTATTAATACATTATCTTGGTACAAAAACATCTTTTCTGGAAGATATGTTTGATAGAAAGCCACTTAATGTGGCACCAGCTCATTCCTTCTGAGAATAATAGGTCATTTGCTATTGAACTGTAAGCAGCTTCTAATGATCAAAGCTGTCCTCAACTGAAGTGCTCGTGGGTTTTCAGGGTTCAGGCTAGTTGACAGTGTTCATACACCATCTGCTGCCCAGCTAAGTGCCTTGGTGTAGCACAGCTTGTTAACCTGTACCTTTGGAGAGTGACTGTTCAAATGAAACACTGGCTTTAACTCTCCTGGTATAATTGGTTTTGACAACAAAACTATTTTAAATTCTCAGTGGATGTGTGGGTGCCTTGATCAGAAACAAAGCAGCCTCAAAGAACTGTTAAACCAATTATAGAAGTCATAGGTTTATGCTAGAGTCAATACAAAGTGGCACTTGAAAAGAGCACAGATTGCTCTGTAAGGTCAAGTAAAGCACAACTAAATCAATAAGCCAAATTGAGTCAAAATATTAGAGTACAAAAGTAAAGAGATAATGAGAGAACTAATGCAAGTAGTTCTGTAACAACTTATTCCTGTGAAAATATCTGTTTTCTTACAGGGGCTTGGTACTGGACATCAAACCTCATTATTCCCTAGCAATTTGCCCTGTATTTGCCAATCAATTTTTAGTTTGAATTATGTCAAGCATAATTTTAAGCAGTTTTAAATTCAGGATGAGTCTAAAGTTAAAACCTCATATGCATTAGACAAACAGTACAAGGTCTAAGTATTCGTGTGTTCTAGAAGATAAATGTATCATGGTTTGGAGTCCAAAATTCCCTCCCCCTGATATGGCTGGTATTTTGGATAAGAATTTTAGACCTTCCTTTAAGATACCCATTTCCTAGAGACTGCATACTGACCTAGTGAATTCCTTGGAGCAAATCCGTCTGTGGGTTTGGCATAAATAGAGTTATCAGTCAGTATAAATTGATGTGATCTGGCTCCTTATGTCCCATAAAACCCTTCTGATCACCAGCGTTCATATCACTAGTTGTAAATATCACAGAGGGCAGTCCTCCAACATTATTGGAATGAATGTATTTATTGCTTTAGATACAAGTTGATATCCCTAAGGCAGTGCAGTGATGTTTAAACAAAATCTTAAAAGATACATTCCAGATTGGCATTGTGACTCCAGTTTACACATATTCATTTGTCTGCTTTATCTTGAATTTTTTTTTTCCTTTTACAGATACAATTTTACAGAGAAACAGCATGAGAGAACATATGGTGCCATTATTCAAACACAGCTTAGAAATTTGCATCATACCACACGTCACATTAATAGGCTCCTTTCTTTATTAATGTCCCTTAATGTAAATATTTTAAATCTACACCTAAAAAGATACCCAGAGCCACTGGCTTTACTTACATCTGTGGTTTTCAACCTGTGGTCTGTGAATCCCTGAGGGTTCACAGACTATGTCTAAGCGGTCCTTGAAAGATGACTGTGATCAATCAAGAGTATGTGAAATTGGGTTGTGCGATGCTTTGGTCCCTGATTTGATTTGGCGGAGATTCAGCCCAATTTGGTGGCTGAATCTCTGAATCCAAATCAAATCAGGACCCTATATTGTCTCCGAATCAAATTCGAACCCTCCGAATCGATTCGGAAAGATTCTGAGATCTGGACATAGACACAGCTTTAAATGTTTTTTCTACGTATCTCTAGGTAGCAGGGGCTTGTGATCATTGCAGTGCTGGGGCACATGGAGCGTCTCACAGAAGCACGGGGGCCTCCCCAGTGCGTTAATCATCAGACCCGGAAGTGGACCAGAAGCACTTCCAGTCCACTTCCGGGTCTGCCAGGGAGCATGCAGAGGGCCCCCCCCTCCCCCCCCCCTGCCTGACTTGGTGACTGGTGCCTCCTAGGTCTGGGGGGGGGGCACCCGGGGTCCCCCTGTAATTCATAGCCGAGCTGGGGGGGGGAGGGGGAGGGGGCCTTCACGCTCCTTAGCAGACCTGCAAGTGGACCTGAAGTACTTCCAGTCTGCTTCCGGGTTTGCTGCTGAGCACATGGAGGGTTCTCCCTGCACTCCTGTGGGACGTTCCATGCGCCCCAGCATTGCAACAATCATGAGCCATGCCTGTTATCTCAAGGTATGGAGAAAAATGTTTTTAAATCTGTGTCTGTCTGAATCAGCATCAAATCTTAA